ATAAATGTTATATCTTCAAATATTATCTTTTTTCCTATTATTAATTTTTTTCTTCTGAGACACTAATTAAGCACATGTGGGACATTGAAATACAACCTTCTAGTTTTATCAGCCCTTCTGCTTTTCTCAGATCCCAGGTATTCTCTTCAGTTCTGTATTCTAATTCACTAGTTATTTATTCACCTGTGTCTAGACTTACAATCCTGGCTAGGAAAATCTTTTCATCTTTATGTTTTATATAACATTTATTTCTGGTGACTTTTGGTTTGACTGTAAATCTGTCTAGTCTTTTTTGATACTTGTTACTTTGTTAAAATACATTTTATATTTTACATGCCAAATTATTTGTTTACAGCCTCTGAAATTTCTGTCATTTTAGTTTGTTGTTTGGTCTACTTCTACTACTGGTTGTTTCTTCTGATTTTTTTCCCTGTAATGTCTTTATTCACTTGTGTGTCTCATAATTTTGAATTCTGAATGTTTTTTTTTTCTGGAAATTCTGTGAGGTGTATCCCAAAAGTGTATCTATCTAGAAAGTTTTTGCTTTTGTTTTACAAAGTGCACAGAACATCGCCCACCTGGTATTACACCTTATATTAATTGCTTTATCTGACATTTTCTGGTTTTTAAGGTCTGAGGTTTCTTGGGTTTGATTAATCAAGACACCCTTTTTATGCAATAAGAAAGCCAGATTTAGACAAATTAATTTCCTATTAAAGTCCTAATTTGGTAGATAGATTTAGTTGCGTGTTTTACTTTTTCACCAAAGGCATATCTTTAAAGGTCCTAACCTTGTGATTCCTGGATCCTGTAAGCTCAGGACTTGTCTCTAATTCTTGTAGGTCAATAAACATAAGCAACCCATAATTTATTGGTTTTACATATTTTATTTAAGTTTTGAAATTTTGAAGTAAATTTTGGAATTTTGGAAGTTCCTTTGATTTTTTTTTAAAGTTCTGCTATGCATGATATTTACAGTTTATGCTGTATAACTTCATAGCAGGGGGGTTTTCAGTTTCAGTGGATACCGTATTACAAAAACTCTCTACATGTAATGTGCGGATGTACATACACAGGGAATATGCCTTTCAAACTTGAATCTTCTACCATAAGGCTAAAATGTCATGCATTTTAAAGAGTTATGCAGGCGTTGTCAATGATTTAATATGTTGACTTAATATGTGACACTGTGTGAAAAGGCCAAGATTATTATGGTTTATTTTTACTATGTCACGTGAAGCATTCACATCAGAGTCATAGATAAGTGTTTATTAGGAAGCTATATATAAAGAGTTGGGCATATAACTTTAACTATTGCTAAAATAATATGGTTTTTCTAGGACACATTTCATTTATTATACAAAAAAAAAGAAAGAAAACAGCAAACTTTTACATGCTTTTAGGTTTGTGAGCTTACATTCTCTCAACTAGTAGCAGTATTAGAAATCAATCAAAAGAGAACAAGGGAAGGCCCAGTTTCACTAAATTCTCATTATCAAAGTGTGGTGGTTTGAATGAGAAATGTCCCCCATACAGGATCAAGTATTTGAACACTGGTCTCAAGTTGGTGGTGCTGTTTGGGGAGGTCATGGAATTTTTAGGAGGTGCAGCCTTGCTAGAGGAAGTGTGTTACCAGGGCCGGCCTTGCAAGTTCACCCCACTTCCAGTTCATTCTCTGTTGAGAGTTTGCAATTGAAGATGTGATCTCTCAGCTTCCTGTTCTGCCACTGCCATCTTATCTACTGCTTGCTGCCATGCCTCCTGCTGTGATGGACTCTCTGGAACCTTAAGCCCAAATAAACTCTTTTTTGCATAAGTCACTTTTGGTCATGGTGTTTTATCACAACAGAAAAGTAACTAATACATAAAGATTTTGTATAGTAATTTTAACAAGAAAACAACAAAAAACACATATTGACTAAAACTAAACTATAAATTATTCTAGTAAAATGCCCCAAACATAAGTTGTACCCAGAATTGCAGCCTTCAGGAATTGCTCAATTTTGTTCTTATGGTGCAAGATGAAGAATAAGTTATTGAGCAAGCTAAATCCTCAGAAAGGATGATGAGTGCAAAAGTAAAATCTAATTTTTTCTGTTATTTGGATTTCTTACTACGAAGCCATTGGAGATTGTTTTATTCTTACCACTTCCTTCAAATGCGTCTTACAGTCTTATTTTCCTAGGGAGCCCCACCCTGTGCCCTACTTCACGCTGTTACCCACTCCCTTTCCCCATCGTACTGCTAAGCATATGCCGTTCTCTTAGCCTATGTTTTGCTTCCAAAGGCATCCATCTCTTCTACTAGACTACATTATTGATAAATTTGTTGTGTTTACCTTACTAGGAAGCTAAAATTTACCAATGGGAGGGATCTTGGTATATTTTATTTACTGATATATTCCCAACCACCAGAATGGCATGGGTTAATAAGTTTTTAAAATCACTTATTTTCTGAGCAAGTTTTTATTTCCTTGCCCTTTATGTCCTTACTGAGATACATATGTGCAAATGAGTTATATGTATGCTGCATATATTATCTTGTCTGAAAGAAAGCTGTCATTCAGAGAATAATACCAATCACTAGTGTTTGGAGGTGTAAAGTGACCTGGACTTTTAATGTTTCAAAATTTCCATCTATCCAATCTGTTGCAGGCACATGGTGCTCTTCCTTACCCCAAGTCTCTCCTGTAATAGTAGAACATGTATAGCGCTCAGAGTCCTACCTCATTTTTCTCCTTGAGTTTTGTGATCATAACAATCACCGGGCTGTCTTCCTGCCAAACCATCTGCCAGAAGTCATTCACGGTGTTAATCATGGGTCCCTGTGTGGCAATGAAAGCTTTCTCTTTGCCACTGTAACCCTAGTTGGAGTAAAAAGAAAAACATATTGGCATATGTTTATGGACTGCAGTTGACATTTAGGGGGAATGATCTTCAGAACAGAGCTTAGTAGTCTAAAAGCAGCATGGGTTTTAGGAGCTTCATTGATGTGAGATGCATATGGTATTTTCCAGAAAATCCAGTTTGGCATTTGGTAACCAGGGTTGTAAAGTTCAGTCTCATCAGAGCATCCACATGGAGTCCAGAGTGAGGGGCTCCCAGCAAAAGAATACTCAATATAAACAACGTATCAACAGTGCTGGTATGACTATAACAAATACCCCAAGGCACAGCAGTGATCAAATTAATTCAAACTTTATACTGAGGAAAAAAGATGAAACCAACAATTTCAAATAACAAGTCAGCATGCCAACTAGAAAGAAATTTGTAGTTACCTACCCGAATATAATTAGCATTAATGTAGGTGCTCAATGAATCAGTTATATTTTTTGGTCTTAAACACACTCTGCTGAGGGGATCTAATGAAGAAAATAAGAAAGAACACATTAAGTAGATTTAATTAAAAAAATCTCTAGAACGTCAGTAAGAAGCAAAGAGAAGTGTGTAAGTCAAAGGCACATTTGCCAGGTGTCTTTGTTTCTGGTGCACGTGTGTCCGTCTTTTGATCTGTTTGTGTTTATAGAGGGACGTTTGGACACACCTCAGCCCCTGATGCTGATGGAAATCACAGCATTTTGAAGTAAAGTTCTGATTCTTCACTCCCTCTCTCATTTATACCGCTCTCTTTTCTTTGGATTTGGAATTTATTCTAGGTCTCCATATCCCCACTTTTCCCCTATGTCTTCAGAGAAGAGCTGGGATGCCCTCTCCCATTTCTCCATTTCACTATTTCTTCTCATCCAGCCCCTCGGGGCCTAGTCTGGCCTGGCCCTACCAGCATGTGTTCTAACCACGTCCCTTGATTTCCTGAGAGCATGAAGTATGTGCTATCAGCATAAAGATGTAGAGTGGGGCAAGCAAAGGAAAGAGGAGGATACAAAGATGAACACAATTCATTTCAGTGAGTTGTCAGTCTATTCATAAAGTAACAACATTATTGATTACTAGTAGATGGCAGACTGCTCTTAGAGGTTGTGGATAGCTCCAGTTGTCAACCTGACATACCTGGGAACAGGGGACCTCAGTTGGGTAATTGTTTTTATTGGATTGGCCTGTGGTCAAATCGGTGAGGGATTTTCTTGATTGCTGAGTGATGTGGGAGGGCCCAGCCTACTATGGGTGGTACCTCCCTTGGGCAGGTGGTCCTGGGTTGTATAAGAAAGCAGGCTGAGCACAGCCCAGAGGAACAAGTCAGTAAACAGTCTCCCTCCATTGTCTCTGATTCAGTTGCCACCTCTAGGTTCCTTCCCTGAGTCCATGCCTTGCTTCCTTCAGTGATGAACTGTACCTTAGATATGTAAAATGAAATAAGTCCTTTCCTCCCCAAGTTGGCTTTGGTCAGAGTGTTTTATTAAAGCAAGGTAAAACAGAGATGTTAAATTATTTGATTTTAAAAGTCTAATCAATAATGTTCCCTTAAGTAGTGAACATTATTATTTCTTCAAGTTCCAAAGATCCATTGGAAAAGGATCCTGTTCTTAGGGGCAGGCCTCATTCAGTTTCATCCAAAACACTGCAAAAGTTCTTCCTGCATCCTTTTGGAAGTCCCGAAAGAAGCAAGATGACTACAAAGATGCTCAGTGGGTCAGTAAGGACTATCTGAGTCAGGTCTAATGTGACAGTGGATGAGGAATTGGGGCTCAGTACATGGTCCTCTTGGGATGTCAGCCTTGAATACTTAAGGGATTTTCTCCTAAAGGATCCTGATGTACAAATGGTTCTGAAGCAATCTAGAGCAGGGGATGGGCCCTTGGGAATGTTTTCAATGTCAGCCTTATCAACTAGATCCTTCATAGTATAGATCCTATGGGAAAGGGAGCTGGCACTAATATTCAAACCCACTTCATTTCCCCAGGCTCTTCTGAAGTCATGACAAGTCTCTACATTTTGTACCACAGTTGGTTAGGGGCAGATTCACCCTTGCATGCACAGGCTCGTTCAACTAAAGACTTTGTACCTAATTTTGTATTCATAATGTTGTATTCAGTTTAAAGGAAGTATCTTCCAATTAGTGTAACTTTAGTATCTCTTCTTTACCAAACTCAGTCTCTCCCTGTTGTATATTTATCACGCTCTCCATAATGCCAATGGACAGATTGCGTTTTATCCTTCCATCTTTTTCCCTCTAACAGAGTTTGAACCTTCCTGAGCTGCATTTTCACATCTGTCAATTAAGAGGATCAAAACTTTGCAGAACACAAAAATCACAAAAACACAGAAAGAGGAGCCATGGTGACATAAACAGTACTCAGTGAACACATTCCATCAGCGATAGTTTGGGGAGGGGTCCATCGGGCCTACAGCTGTGCAGTGCTCTTGCCAAGCATGTGTATTGCCATCTGACATCTTAGCTGTCATCCACGGAAGCACACAATAATATGCATAGTGTTCTACCACCAGATGCAGACACACACACATCCAGATGTTATGAGCAAGCTGTCTCCTGGTATTTGGTCTCCCCATCTTTCTTTAGCAACAAGATCCCAGATTCTGGCTGGGAGCCTGGTAGGATGCACACTGTATAACTCCCCTTCTTACCATTTCTTGCAGTTGTTACAACATCTACAAATGACCAAGTTGTCATTTGTAATGTGAGGGGCGATGGATATGACTTTAAGATCATGGAGAAAAAGTGAAAAGCACCGTTTTCCTTCTTCCACTTCCCAGGCAGTGCTGCTGCTGGGGACATTATTGTGGCTGGTGATGGGCACCTTGGACCATAAGAAGAAGAACAGTGCCCTAACCAGAGAGAAGATTCTTGATGCACAATGTGGAAAAGCCACCAGATCAACCCAGGAACCTTCTACTTGAACAGGAAATACAGTTCCAACTTATTTCAACCACTTGTAATTTGATTGTATTTGATATTTGGTTGTATTGATATATTTGGAAAAGTATTTCAGGAAGGAATAGTATTGTCAGAAATCAGTTCTGCCTAGGGAGTCATTATATACTATATATATATAATAGTCATTATATATGAGAATTTATATGCTCAGAAATTAAATTTAGGGTTCTTTGAGTTAGAGTGCACATGTCCAGTAGGGATCAAATTCTACAAAGAAAGACTTTTAGCAATATAGTAAGAAATAGTCCTGTCAGCCTCCAGTCAAGCCCCGAGGCTCTGGAGCATCATCACTGGAATATGCACAGTGCTTTGATCAGCCTGGATAGCCCTAAATTGTTTAATGTACTGATTTTTTTTCTCTCTGGCACTGTAATAAACACATGGTATAATCTAAATCTTTTTTGCTATTTGGAAGAAATTGTCCTTAGTTATCCTGTGCAGCCACTAGCCATATGTAACTATTGAGGACTCCACATCTGAACTGAGGAATTAAAGCTTTCACTTCATTTAATTTGATTCATTTAAATTTGAATTTACTTAGCTGTAAGTGGCTAGTGATTGCTCTTCAAGATAGTGCAGGCATAGAGGATGAATCCCAAACTCTCCATAGTGGAGTACAGCAGTCTTTAATTATCTTTACCCACGGCCATATTACCAGCCACTTTCCCATCTGTGTCATCTGATTTAGTTCCATGAATCAAGGGCAATCTCTTTTAGATTCTGAGCATTTACACATACTGTTCATTCTGACTTCTTTGCACAGTAGTCTTCCTCAGTCTTCAGGGCTCAGTCTACCAAATGCATCTTTTTGAAGCCCTGGTCTTTGCAGACGGAATGAAGTATCTCCTTCGTGGCTCAGGCTTCCTGACTTTTATTTCAGTATTGTCATTCTAAGTGCTTACATCTCTGCTTGCCATCAGTGGGCAGTGGCAAGACCCTTGCTATGATTCATCCACTTCTGCATTCTTTACAATTTCCATTTGAGTCTAGAATAATTTTAGAATAATTTCCATTACTTACTCAAAAACACTACTTTTTAAAAAAATTTAAAATATTCTATTCACTATTCTTACTCTATGTGTACAAGTGTATTGCCTGCATGCACGCAAGTGCACCTGTGTCGCGCAATGCCCCTGAAACTGGAGCCAAGGATGGTTAGCAGCTGCCATGTGGGTGCTGTGAATCAAACCCAGGTCTTCTGCAAGAGCAGTCAGTGCTCTCAACTGCTGAGCCATCTCTCCAGCCCCCAGCTCTTTTTTTTTTTTTCAAAGGAGGGTCGTACTATGTACTATGTAGCCCTTGCTAGCCTGGATCTCACTATGCAGACCAAGCTGGCTTCAAACTCACAGAGATTCTGCCTCCCAAGTACTATAACTAAAGCTCCAACAGGTGTGGCAAGTTGCTACTTTTTAAAAAAAAATTATTTATTTAATAACCACATACTTAGAAGAAGCATTTCATTACATCAGCATTGACATATTCAATAACGATATTCTGAGCTAAGATGCATCTCTTTCAAAATTGGCTGTAAATATTTAGGTTTACAGTTGCTCCTTAATAATTAGTAAATGTGAAAAACATTGCCATTGAAATCTACTTGACAACTTTATAACCACGCTCAGATGCCAAGGAGCTCAGAAGGCAACTGACTGTGACCAGTAATAATCAGATATATAGAGATTAGAAACACATGTGTAAACATCTTAATGTTAATTGCATTAAAAATGAATTTTTCTGTATGAAACTACGTATTTTAATAATGAAATGGAGATCTTTTTTAAAGGTTAAAACCTCATTTAATTTTATGTCTTATAGGGTTTATACTGAGTAAAATATTGTAAAACACTGCTTTTTTACTTTCTTAGATTTTTAAAAATTTTCATAGCAAAGAGGACAACACAACCTTATTCCTTTAGTATCCGTGAGTTCCTGGTGCTTCCACAGATGCCTGAAACTACCCCAGCTTGAGAAAAGGCCCCCACTTCCTTCAGGTTTTCTATGAAGCATATAATTTACAGGTAACCCTACAGACTACTCAGAAGTGGTTCCCTATCAGGTTAATTACATTTGTGCCAGAAATTAGTACTTTGTAGTAATTTCCAAGTATTTAGAGGTTTCTAAATACTTTTTAATTTTTATTTATTATTTTGAAAATTATCTTACATTTATTTATTTTAGTGACTCTTACTAAGTGGTATCATTTATCAATTCTTATCTCTTTATCTTCTTCCTTTTTTATTTTTTCTTTAACAATATTGCACATAATTATAGATTTGCTCCCCCAAGCCTGTATTTATGAACTCTGTCTACCCCAGTCTCCCAAAAATACCTGTTGCAATTTGAGTTTTCTGTTTAGCAGACAAAATGATACCTGGGTCAGTGTTTTGATTGACGTAAGATCAGATTTTACCAAAAGTGATTATATGCTTAAGATTTTCATTCCATTAAGAAATGTGTTTGAGGGTTGACGTCAAGAAAGGTGGTTAGTTGGGGTAAAGTATATCCCTGTTA